ATTCATGGTATTAATTAACAGAATAAATTAGAAATATGTTAATACTTAATTATTACCATTATTAATGACAATTTATATCTGATGCAGTTCTTTATTAATGTATACACTTCATTATTTCCTGATGCATTAAGTATTAGTCCATGCATTAATTCACTTGATGAAAGCATTAGTTAAGTATTAATACATGCTTATTTGTGGACCAGTGTTGTAAAGTGTTACCGATATTTCTGATTTAAACTACACATCTGGAATCAGCTCTGGAACATTTATCACTTCTCTTGTGCATGAACTAATGACAGACCTACAAACCTGGTCAAGAAACAACTGAGAAACCAACTGTCCAATTATTTACGGACCCCTGAAATTTGACAGGGGTCCATGGGAACTAGTGGATGTAATTCTTACTTGGTTTACTCAGTACTGAAGTGAATACTCTCAAATAAAATCTGAACATTCTGCATTTTAACCTCAATCATTGGTCCTTTTCAAATGTAGTACTGGAGTTCAGAGACAAAACACTAAATTTGGCATGATGCATTTAGTAAGAGTGTCACTATGTAGTACTTGATACAGTTCAGGATGTAAGAGAGCAGTAAGAATTAAACAGCTCTGGGAATCACTGAGAGATTCATCTAGAATTACTCCTATACAGGCTTACAGATCTGATCTTATGCTTCCTAACTTTAATCTACAGGATTTCTCAGTGAGGTCATCATTTGTGCAGCGGTCAGTCTTGCACAGTGTCTGATGTTGATGAAGACTGCTCCTTATCTCAACACACTTCCAGGTATGATATTAAAACAATTCAGAATAAAATATAATATAATAAATAAATGAATACAGCTGTTAGCATCAGTGTAGGAGACTGCAGTCTGGAAGAGGTTCAGTACTGCACTGATTTACACACTTTCCAACTCACAAAAGTCTTTTAATTAGCTGATAATATAAAGCAGGTCATAGAGGGCCATTCTGATAACGTATTTACTTATCTAACTACACATATGATTTACAGAACGCTTGGTGAAAGAAGTGAGGATTCTGAGTGCTCCACTTCTTTACTCAATCATAGCAACAGCTATATTCTCAGGTAAGTAAGGTTTAGTGCATGTGGGGAGGTGATTAAAAAACTGTGAAGTTACATTCAAGAACACTTCTTTTAACAGCTTCTTTGTTAGGAGTTCTATTCAGGGTTAGACAATGTTGAATGCATGACTGATGCTAGTCCACGTCTCATCAAATCAGAGTGACAGAGAAACATACAGACTTTCTTTAGTTCTTGCTTTACGGTTATTTGTACAGGATGACTGCTAATCTGCTTTTAGAGGTGTCATCAACAGCTCTGCTTGCCATTCTCTCAGAAATACTGTAGAGGACAGTAACTGACACGGTCAGCAAGAATTTCTTCTGCACAACTGACCCAACATAGTGAGGATTAGGATACAAAAATAAAACAACAACAACAACAACAACAACAACAACAACAATAATAATAATAAACAAAACAATGCAGGGAAAGTACAAAAAAAAAAACCCATACAAAACAATAAAGAACAAAGAACATAAGTGGAGGATACATAGAAATATGGTTGCAACAGGGTTAATTAGAATAGGATCCAATGACATTGTTGAGACAGGAAGTTGACTTCAGCTAGTTTTTTGAAGGTATTCAGACTGTTACTGAGCTTGCCTCTGGAGGAGAAGCTATCCAAATGGTCAAAGATCTTGCTGTTCTTTGTCAGTGAGGAGGCTTCCAAATTTTACAAGCCGTTCCAGACATGATCAAAAAATGTTAGTGAGCTGAATCTGCACTGAGATGAGCTGCCAGTTGAAAGACCTCTTGGAATCCATTGGCGCGTTCAGACTGACACATTAAATTCAAGGTGACAGGCAAAGGCACGGCAATTCAGGTTTATTTATATAGTACATTTCATACACAAGGCATGGGATGTGGTCTGTTGTCAGCTCAGTTTATGACCCTTTAAGGTATGTGGCACCACCATCACCTCTAGCCAAACTCATGCTACAGGATCCCGGACTGGGATGTTCATATTCCCCAAATCCTCAAAGAACAGTGTATTAAATGGTTGTTAGACTTTCAACAAGTGAATGTATTCAAGCTTGAAGGATGCATTAAAACACAGGACTTTGGATAACTAATCCACAATCACTTGCATCACTTTTCAGATGAAAGTGAGAGTGGATATGGCATTGTGGCCTACCTCAGGATACAGAACAACCACAGTATTTCACAGTGAAGATATATCCATACCTCTCAAAGTCCTGTAGATGATGCATCTAGAGGACTCAAATTACTTGTAATTCCTACATATTTACCAATTAAATACTAGGTACAGTCTCATGTGTTAATATGTTTGAGTTCAGATCAGACCTTACAATCTGAAGAGCTTGACAATATCTGTTCTGTCTGCACTGAATCACAAATGTGTCTTCTTCTTTTTTCTCATCTAGTTGAGTTTTCTCATCTTAAAGAAATCCATTTGCCCCTGGCTGAAACAAGTGTAATGTTGGCAATAGTGACAGTGTCTTGTATTTGTGCAATCATTTCAGGTAAATAAAAATATCAAATATTTTCTCTCATATACAAAATGCCTCTAATAATTGTTTCTTCTTTAATACATTTATGAAAATAATAATAATAATAATAATAATAATAATAATAATAATAATAATAATAAATATAGCCGCAAGCGGCAATGAGCGGGTTCAAGCATGCAACAGCAGTACGGGCCCTCCTGCAGGTTTAGCCCATTAGGCCTAAAAAGGCCTCAAGCTTCTGGTTTAGGCCATTAGGCCTAAAAAGGCCTCAAGCTTTTGGTTTCGCCCATTAGGCCTAAAAAGGCCTCAAGCCTTTTATTATAATAGGCCTAGAAAAGCCTCAAGCCTTTGTATAGTAAGTCTTTGTATAGTGAAATCTTTGAATGAATAAGCCAAAATAAAAGACAAGCAGTGCAATTTTTGACATAACATGTAATTAGAAAGTTGTTCATCTTAGTGGACTGAGTCACATGACACCATTTGTTTATATGTGGGCCTTGTAATAACATTGTAATAGCAATTTTTATTGATTTTTCAGTGTTTTTGAGTGCTGAAGCGCGTCCAAAGGCCAATCTGGACCAAACTTGGCATACTCCATTAGAATCTCAATTTGTATAAATACTCAAAGTTTGAACATGATCTGACCAATGAATGTTGAGTTATAGCTAACCAAGCTAACAATGCCACATATGCAGGAATTTGGTGATTAATTCACATGACCCTGAGTAGAAAAGTCAAAATGTTTTTGATAATTATTTACCTACAGATGCCAAAGAATTGTTCTAGACCAACTTTGATAAGATTGGATCAAAATCCAGAGACTAGTTCGAAAAGTAGGGTTTTCAAACATTTATCGATTACAAAAAAACTATACAGATTTTTAATAAACATGTATAGGCAAAATTGTTTGTCACACTGTACTACAATAGGCTGTAGGTGGAAATTGTAATAATATTGTAATAACATGTAATAATATGTACATTTTTGAAATTGCGCCCCCCAGTGGTCAAATCTTTTGAAACTCGACTGGTTGTTAGAAAGTGGCTACATATAGACACCAGTCAAGTTTCGTCATGATTGGTCAATGTTAAGCCTGTCAAATGGCCTGCTGAATGCTTATTGGCCGATGGCGACCACAAATTTCGATGTATCCAAACGTCCTTCAATGCACACTTGTAGACTGGCGAGAGGATGCTGGATGCAAAGTTTCAGCTTGATAGGATGTTCAGAGGCAGAGAAAATGCCCTGTTTTTGTTGCTCCGCCCCCTAATTACTTATGCGCACAAAAATCGAATGGCTACCTCAGAATGGGCTACTGACATGGCCAGTCAAGTTTGAAATTTTTTGGCTGAAGAATTCTTGAGTTACAGATTTTTCAATTAATTCTGAATTATTTTGAATTTATCCAGAAGGGTTCATTTGCATATGGCAGACATGTTGTATAGAAAACTCAAAATGTTTTTGATAATTATTGACCAGGACACTATTCTGAATTTTTTGACACCAAACACATGAGGATTGGGCAAAGATTGGAGGACTAGTACACAAAAGTAGGTTTTGCACATTTTGCAGTATTGCGAAAAATCTAAGTGGGCGGAGCTAAATAATCAAAATAGCCAAAAGGTTTATTTACCCATAGACCCATAGAATCAGGAAAAAAATATGGCTTGTCTGGCAAAAATCTAGTTTAGGAGATATAGACCCAAACGCGTTGACCTGCGCTGTAGCGCCCCCTTGTGGCCGACTGGGCTGATTCCTTGCGCCTGAGTAGCGGGAGGGACTACTACCAGTAGACCAAGTTTGGTGTCTCTAGGACTTACGGTTTGGGCTGTGCGTTCTGTTTCAGGGCAGAAAAATAATAATAATAATAAGAAGAAAAATTCTCACAATTCCAATAGGGTTCAATGCATTGCATGCTTGAACCCTAATAATCATCATCATCATCATCATCATCATCATCATTTGTGCAAGGATACACTCACTGTCCACTTCATTAGATACACTTACCTTGTATCTGCACTCATTGTACATTTTATCAGCTCCAGAATGTCTGTAACGTCCTGGCCACCCCCAGCCACAAGAGGGAGGAAGAGAACTGAACCAGGCTGATTAAGTCTGACTGTTGTCAGCTGTTCACCACCCTTCTTTAGGAAAGCACACATGTAACTCTCCACTCAGTCTTGAGTTCACATTGCCACATGCAAGTGCTCTCGACAAAGCTGGTAACCTGAGCACCTGCTCTGGGCATAGAATGCCTATAACACCTTGTGGCATTCCTCACTGGTCATGTTTGGTGTATCCTTCATCCATATTCCCAGAGCCGGAGTCTGAAGTTGAGTTCCCTGCTGCACGTCTTCTTGTGCAGCGGTGTCGCCGGGTTTGGTGGAAGGCCCACGTTTCACTATAAAAGGCCTCAGCAGTGCAAAAACCCTCATTTTGGCCAGAGCAGCAGGTCTGGCTCTATGCCAAAGACCTGCCTCTAAGAGTTGTGTCCCGCAAACTTGCTCCGTGGTATGTGGGGCCCTTCAAGGTGGTGCAGCAGGTCAATCCAGTGTCCTACTGGCTCCTCCTCCCCTCCCGCTCCTTGTCCACAAACCTGACCTTCCACATCTCTCGCCTCAAGCTGGTCCTCTGCAGCCCCTTGCTCTGGCCCCTGCCTCTCAGCACATTTGGTTAGGGGGTACTGTAACATCCCAGCCTCCAGCTAGGCCATCCCAGTGATGCACTGGTTAGCACATTGGACCTTCAGCACAGAGGTCGGAGGTTCAACTCTGCTCCGGCTTAGAGCATTCTCGAGCTTTCCGTTTCTCCCTTGAGTTAATTAATGGCTGCATTCTTTTTTGACTTATCCTGACTTGGTCAACATAAGCTGCCAATGACTGCAGGGGTATAAAAACACTGCCTTCATGTCAGACATATTCTGCTTCCCCTACTGAGCTAACAACTATGATCTCACAGCGTTTGCCTTTTTTGTTACAGATGAAATTGATGTGCTCAAAATAAATGCTGAAAATTAAAACTATAGTGTATGGTGGCCATATGTAAAAAAAACATACAGCTAGAAGGAAGGAATCAAATTAATGTCATCCTCTTTGGGAGAGAATAAGAAAGGTAACATATGTAACACAACATGTTTGTCATCGGAGGCTCTAACCAATGAGGGTGATGTTCTGACATCACAAAGGTATGTTGTAGCTTGTGCAAATGGAGAACAACTGCAGTGCCTGGCTTCAGAAACTGCAGCCACCTTGCTCCCAAGAGATGTTAATGTCATGTGACATGGTGATGTTCCGCAGTACTGGCAAAAGTCAGACAAGATCACGTTAAGTGAGCCCTGCACAGAGCCGCAAGCCGAACCAACCGTTGTCCTGAGTCCTCTGTTCACCCCAAGAACTTAGAATTAGTTCTCTTCTTATGCTTATATTCCCCCACTTTTTGAGTATTTACTGCTTTGCTCTTGAGTCCACCCCTGTGCTTGGTTGGTGGCTTGCCTCAGAGCACTCTGGTTTCCATACACAGGGACCACTGATTCAATCCCTACGTGAGGTAAGCCTGCCACCTTACCGTTGCACAATCTTCTTTGTGTTGGGAGTTTGGATGGGATAGTGAGGATCAGTTAAAGTGTTTTTTGGGAGGTCCTGGCCACTGAAGAACAGGGTAAAAGGGGACAAACAAGGTATGCAGAGAAACAGATGGACTACAGTCTGTAACTGTAGAACTACAAAGTGCACCTATATGGCAAGTCAAGCTGAGGTTAAGGTAGGACCTTATAAAATGGACAGTGAGTGTACATGATTTGTCTTTCAAATTAGTATAGTAACTGAACAGGTTAACAACTGTAGCACTACGCAACATTCAACACAGCACCCTGAAATTCTACAACAGTTTACAGCTGATACTTATTCAGCTTTTTAAAATAGCTTGCTGATGTAAAAGTTGTGATCAAAAATGATGAACAATTTGTGAAAGAACACAAACATTTTCTGTTCTAGCTAAACTCACTCTCAGGATATGTTCCTTTCTGTGCCTGGAACTATACAATGGACTGCTGTTGACTCTTTTTCACCTTGATGAAACATCTGATTCAATAAGTATGTTTTACTTTTTTTTCTGTTGTAATCCTGGTTACAAAACTTTGAATGTACACTATATGGTCAAAAGTATGTGGACATCTCTCCTAATTATTGAGTTCAGGTGTTTCAGTCACATCCATTGCTAACATGTGGATCAAATCAAGCACACAGCCCTCCATAGACAAACACTGGCAATAGAACGGACCATACTAAAGAGCTCAGCATCTTTAAACATGGCTATGGCATGTGTCCGCCCTCTGGGCCCCAATGACGGCCGCGAGAGCCAGCAGGAAAGCTGGGCCTGAACCCTGAGCGTGAACAAAGCCCCTCAAGGACAGCAGGGAGAGAACCGTGAGTGAGTGGGGGACGGTGCCTGAATCCCGAATACTGCCGAGGGACGCGAGTGATGGCGGGAGGAGGAGGTCAGCTGTCAGAAAGAGGGGGGACAACAATGACGGCAACGAGAGGCACAAAGGAGGGAAGCGACTCCCGAACTCTGCCATCCGGGCCCCGCCCGCTGTTTCACATTGAGGCCTCTTCGCTTTGCCTCACATTCTATCCGGGCGGACGAGCTGCGGAGCAGGGTCGGTGACGAGGAGGCGTAGCAACAAGCATTCCCTCGTTCCCTCTCGAAGTGAACATTAAAGAATGCTGCTGCAAACGTTTTTCCTGCCTCCTGCATCCTCCTTGAGCCTGGGTTAGCGCATGCTGCGCTACAGTGGGACTGTCATAGGATGTCACTTCTGCCACAGGTTAGTCAGTGAAATTTCTGTCCTGGTAGATCTGCCCCTGTTGACTGGAAGTGTTATTATTGTGAAAGGGAAGTGTGTCTAGGAACAACAACAGCTCAGCCACGAAGCAGTAGACCACGCAAACTCAGAGTGGGGACACTGAGTGCTGAAGTGTGTAGCATGTTTGTAATGCTATATGGTTTGATGAGTTTGGTGTGGAGGAACTCCAGTGGCCTGCACAGAACCCTGACCTCAACCCCATTGAACACCTTTGGGATGAACTAGAACAGAGATTGTGAGACAGGCCCTCTCGTCCAACATCAGTGTCTGACCTAAAATGCGCTTTTGGATGAGACACAAATTCCCACAGACACTCCAACATCTTGTAGAAGCTTCCCAGAAGAGTTGAGGCTATTAAAGCTGCAAAGGGGGAACAACTCCATATTAATGTCCATATTTTTGGACGTCCAACAAGCTCATATAGTTGTGATGTGTCAGGTGTCCACATACTTTTAGCCACATAGTGTATAATACCTGTAAAGAAAGAATCCAAAGATGATTGCACAGCAGTGATTTCATCAGCCAAACCCCTCCTTTTCAGGCTTTTGTAGACAAAAATGAAGAACCTTAAACTTTGTGTAATAAAGCATCTCACATCAAGAAAGCATGACCATCAAATGAAACACAATATCCTAGCCAGTGGGTAAAATTTAACATGAATAAATTGGGGAGCAAATTGGAAAAAATGCAAAAAAAGGAACAAAGAACTTTTTCGGCAGTATGAAGTAAAAGGAAGAGATGGTTGATAGGAACCAAGATGTGATGTGAACCAACACAGTGTGATGTGAACATATTTTCCAATTGGTGTTTGAATGTACACTTCTGTAAAAAATGGGCCAATTCCAAAATGGCAAAACATTAAGCTTTTAATGGTCTAAACAACGAATCATTAAACAAACAGATGCAGTAAGTCAGTGTGGGAGAGCTTTTCCCTTTGATTTCTTTAAATGTTGAAGTTTTATGTGTAAATTACCAGAATTTTATTAAAAGAAGAGTCAGTATTGATCCACTCAGCACTGATGACTTCAAACAGCTGAGAAACACTGCTGAGCTAGTGTGAGTTTAATGTGAGACTAAATATTCTCTATAGGGACACTGTAATGTGTGCCTTCAGAAAAAGGGACCTTCTGATACTAAACCCAAATCTGAATCACAATCACTTTATTTCACCAAGTATGTTACACATACCAGGAATGAGTCTTGGTGAGTCTTTATGATACGTAACACACTGAACAGACTAGACAAAGACACAGACTGTTAACAAGGGTTAACTAAGAGACAAATAACAACAAGAATAAAGAATCATAAAGAATAATAAAGAGTGAAATGTGAAATGAGCCAAAGACGTGACTATCTGTACATATTCTAGTGTTCACTGCTAGGAAAGAAGGACATACAGCTCATGTATAATTCACTGTATTCTTATCAACAGCTGTTTTAGACACAGCTTCGCCGTATACAAACGGGAGGAGGTCTGATCAGTTACTGTAGAGTAAATGATCGCTCTGTTCAGAGGAGTTACAGTAACACGGAGAGGAGGTCTGATCAGTTACCTTAATACGGAGAGGAGGTCTGATCAGTTACTGTAGAGTAAATGATCGCTCTGTTCAGAGGAGTTACAGTAACACGGAGAGGAGGTCTGATCAGTTACCTTAATACGGAGAGGAGGTCTGATCAGTTACTGTAATACGGAGAGGAGGTCTGATCAGTTACTCTAGAGTAAATGATCGCTCTGTTCAGAGGAGTTACAGTAACACGGAGAGGAGGTCTGATCAGTTACTGTAATACAGAGAGGAGGTCTGATCAGTTACTGTAATACAGAGAGGAGGTCTGATCAGTTACTGTAATACGGAGAGGAGGTCTGATCAGTTACTGTAATACGGAGAGGAGGTCTGATCAGTTACTGTAGAGTAAATGATCGCTCTGTTCAGAGGAGTTACTGTAATACAGAGAGGAGGTCTGATCAGTTACTGTAATACAGAGAGGAGGTCTGATCAGTTACTGTAATACGGAGAGGAGGTCTGATCAGTTACTGTAGAGTAAATAATCGTTCTGTTCAGAGGAGTTACTGTAATACAGAGAGGAGGTCTGATCAGTTACTGTAATACAGAGAGGAGGTCTGATCAGTTACTGCAATACGGAGAGGAGGTCTGATCAGTTACTGTAATACGGAGAGGAGGTCTGATCAGTTACTGTAGAGTAAATAATCGTTCTGTTCAGAGGAGTTACTGTAATACAGAGAGGAGGTCTGATCAGTTACTGTAATACAGAGAGGAGGTCTGATCAGGTACTGTAATACAGAGAGGAGGTCTGATCAGTTACTGTAATACGGAGAGGAGGTCTGATCAGTTACTGTAGAGTAAATGATCGCTCTGTTCAGAGGAGTTACTGTAATACAGAGAGGAGGTCTGATCAGTTACTGTAATACAGAGAGGAGGTCTGATCAGTTACTGTAATACGGAGAGGAGGTCTGATCAGTTACTGTAGAGTAAATGATCGCTCTGTTCAGAGGAGTTACTGTAATACGGAGAGGAGGTCTGATCAGTTACTGTAATACAGAGAGGAGTTCTGATCAGTTACTGTAATACAGAGAGGAGGTCTGATCAGTTACTGTAATACGGAGAGGAGGTCTGATCAGTTACTGTAATACGGAGAGGAGGTCTGATCAGTTACTGTAGAGTAAATAATTGTTCTGTTCAGAGGAGTTACTGTAATACGGAGAGGAGGTCTGATCAGTTACTGTAATACAGAGAGGAGGTCTGATCAGTTACTGTAGAGTAAATGATCGTTCTGTTCAGAGGAGTAACTGTAAT